CAAAAGGCATCACTTTGTACTCAAAGTGTCCGTAGCGAGTACGGAAGGCAGTCTTCCACTCGTCGCCTGGGCGAATACGGATCCTATGGTAGGCATACCGGATGTCGAGCTTGGTGAAGCTCCTCGCTCCCTGGAGTCTATCTAGGGTCTCCGTGATCAATGGCAATGGGTGTCTATTCTTCACTGTGATGTTATTCAGACCCCTGTAGTCTACGCAAAGGCGTAGGCTGCCGTCCTTCTTCTGGACAAACAGAATAGGCACACCTGCTGGGCTCACGCTCCGTTGGATCCAGCCCTTCGTCTCGCTCGATTGGAGGTATTCGCGGAGCGTGGCCAGTTCCATCTCGGAAAGGTTGTATACTGGACCGTAGGGTAGTTCCTGGGTTCCAGTATCGATACCATGGGTCTTCCTACCTAGTTCGGGTAGGTCTTCTGCCCGCTCCTCGGAGAAGACATCAGCGTACTCCTCGTACTCTCTTGGGCACTGGGTGGACGATGCTTCTTCTGAGGTCAGGGCCAGGACAAAGGTGGCGTCGCCTTCATCTAGGCCCTCTATATCCGCAACTACTGCCTTCGCTATATCGAAGGGGTGGCGCCAGATCTGGGTACGCCAATCAATCTGGGGGTTGACCTGTACAATCCAGTCCATTCCAAGGATAATATCCACCCCTGGGGTGTCCATGGAAAGGAGCGTCTGGTTGATGGTCGACTCCCTTCGAAAGTGGTCCTGGGCCCTAACTTTTGTGGTTGCTGTCCCGTATATGACGACTTCTTTGCCGTCGACAGCCTTCACTCGGGGTGGGCCTTTGTCTCGGCACTCGAGGCTACGTCCTTCGCAAAAAGAGGGTGGATCATCGATGCGTCTGACCCTGAATCGAGGAGGGCCTTGGCCTTGTGCCAGGTCGGCCCTACCTGTAGCTCCACGTCGATTTCCATCCTTTTTCTAGGCGTAAGTCGTGGAGCTCCAGCTGGGAGTCACTCCTCCTTCTGGATATCCAGTTTCCTCACCCCAAGGCCTGTATATTGGCCCTGGCTATGGCATTCCTTCGCGAAATGGCCTGCCTTGCCACAGTTGTAGCAGCTCCCGCTTGGAGCTGGCCTTGGGCCCCTGCTCTGGGTAGGTGTCTGCCATCTTGTTGTAGGCTGGTCTAGATTCCGGCGTCTGTTCCAGGGAAGGGTTCTCTCTCCTGGGGTGGTGGACCGAGATCCCCGGGTGCTGCTGAAACTGCCCCTTCGGTTCGGGAAGTTGCCCCGAGGGGAGCTTCTTCCCTCCTTAGGCTTGTCTGAGGTAGGAGCCTTCTCTGTGACCCAACGGTTGGTCATTTCCAGCATCGCTAGGATATTGACGACAGCCTCCCTGTGGGTGGAGGAATGCTCGGCGTACCCTCCCTCAAGGAGCCACTGCCTCATATCTGGGTGGATCTTCATCAGGAGGTGGGTGGTCCTTTGGGACTCGGTATATGGTTCCATTTCCCGTTCCAATTCCTCAAGGTACGTGACGAACTTACGGATACCCTGTCCCTTGCGCTGGTGGGCACCGTTATACTTAAGGGCCGCAATACGCTGTCGGTTGGCTGGGTCAACGTGGAGGTCGCGGAGGAACTCCTCGAACCCAGCGATATCCAAGGGGTCTGCGAAGCCCTCATCCTGGGAGGCGCAGCGGTTGTCCCATTCCTTCATAGGGTCGCCCTTGAGGTATTGAGCTGCGAAGGCCACCTTGGATTGTTCGGTCGGAAACATCCTAGGCTGGTACCGGAAGGAGGCGCGGATTGAGGCCATGAATTCGTTGAGCTCCCTAGCTGACTCGCCCTTGTAGACCTTGGGGTCCTTGACCCTTCCGAAGAGTCTGTGGGCTGGCGTCGTCTCTGTCGACAGAGTAGATGCTGTTTCCTGGGCTTCCTCGTCCGGAGGATTCTCCCACTCTTCCTCGCTGTCCTGGTGTCGCCTCTTCCGGCTTTCCTCTCGTATCCGGGCCTGCCTTTCCGCAGAGCCTCACTTCTTTGGGGTAGGCGCTATAGTCTTCACCGTGCGACTGTCGGAATACTTGGAGGGCCTCTTCCATGGTGTTGAAGTAGGCCTTTTCCTCATCTATTCGTCTCCGGAGGCTAGCCAGCTTCGAGGCCATCTCCTCTCTTGGGCTGTCAGCTTCCTGTGCTATAGGCCTCGGGGCAGGTTCTGTTGGTTCCGTCGAGGTGTTACGGCTACAGTAACATGATGTCATGGTTACAGGGCCAGGGCCTAGTAACGTGACGTGTGAGTCACAGTGGGAAGCGGGGTAGGCTGCCATGTGACGGGGCTAATGGATAGTTGCAGAAACTAGTGGATATTGGATAGTTGAGCTATCCATGAACTATCCTGAATATCTAGCTATCCGCCAACTATCCAGATTACCCATGAGGCACGATGCCACTATATAAGTAGATAGTATTTCCTTAGATAGGAGCTTCGTGCTCAACTCAATATAGTATTCTTTACAATACTGTAACGTGTTACTTGGAAAGCCTTTGTGTCTAATCCCCTGCCTCCTCTGTCAAGTCAACCTTACGCAAGAAACCTCTGTGTCGTTTAGAAGTCAGCGTTACACGAGGGTGTCGCTCCTCTGGAGGTCGCCCGGGTAATCCTCTTTTCCTGGCTTGCCATCCTAATCTGGTAGGCTGAATATAGGTTGAGTCAATAGAATTGTAAAGGCGTAGGGCCCAGGGTGTCACGGGAGTTCAGGGAACCAGGTCAGGAGGCAGGAAGTAAGGGTTATATTGGTGTGAAGCACAATAGGTCTACGCTGATACAGCGACTATTGACTGGAGGCCTCACTCCGAGCCTCCAGCCCCTTATATACAGGAACCCGTAGGCCCTAATTTACCGAGCCCGCCAGGTCCACTGTAAGAGCGTGGCACCTCACGTGCCCTCACGTGAGGGCCGCCTTACAAAGGCGTACTTTAGTTGAGAGCAGTAGAAAACGTTTGACTCTGAGATTGCACTGCAGTTATCTCCCGCGTTTGCGAGATTAAGTGATAAATCCGCAAGTGTTGTTAAGAATGCAAGTGGAATGATCTAATGCAAGGTAATGTCAACCACTGGACATATGATTACCACACGTTAACATACATTAATACCAGTGTCTACTTATTATTAGTTTCTGTTGGCTTGAATGAATAGAGGCTTTAAAGACTTACTTGCGCAGTAATACAATAGCTGCTGTTGAGCTAATGGACCAGTTCCCTAACTGTGGGAATTCTGCCCTATAGTAGAGACATCAAATTAATTTATATACTGAACATTTTGCAAAAGAATGCTGTACCCCAATACACAGTGACGTTAGAAGCTGTAATAATGTATGGTTATGCTCGCGCTACATCCCACTGAGCCAAAAAAGACTACAGTATTCCAGCTCGCCCAGAATATGCGTAACACACTTTATATACCACATGTACTATAACAGCGGCAAGCTAAGGCGGGTATTTGCTAATGGCATCGAGGCGGCCAGGCCCGCCAAGGAGGTGTAACGCTGACTTCTAAACGATAGAAGACACAGAGGTTTCTTGCGTAAGGTTGACTTGACAGAGGAGGCAGGGGATTAGACACAAAGGCTTTCCAAGTAACATGTTACAGTATTGTAAAAAATACTACATTGAGTTGAGCACGAAGCTCCTATCTAAGGAAATACTATCTACTTATATAGTGGTGTCATGCCAAAGGGATATCCATGGATAACATGGATAACATAATATCCATGATATCCAATGTTATCCATCACCTGATATTCTGTGGATCCCCGTGGATAACATGGATAACATAATATCCATGATATCCAATGTTATCCATCACATGACATTCCATGGGTCCCTGTGGATAACATGGATAACATAATATCCATGATATCCAATGTTATCCATCATGTGAGGTTGCAGCTGTAAGCGCTAGCCATAGCACTAGCACTTAGCTGTAACAGGAGGCCAAAGCAGTGATTGCGAGCATGTTGAAAGGAATGTAATCTTAAGGTATGCACACCAAGGATAGAATATGGATGGAACTGTGGCGGACGGATCGCGATGAGACATTGAGGGACTATATACAGGCTTCACTTCATGGAATCAAATCGAAAACGCCAAAATTTAGGTAACTAATCGCATGGCTACAAATCATACATGAGCATGTCTCGTATTGTTCTCTTTTCCCTTCATCCGCTCAACTGCAACGTTCATGTTTATCTGCTATTTCCCCTCGTGCTGTATGTAGTCTTCACTCTTAGATAGCATCATGTGTCCATGTCAAGCACATCGCCAGTATGGTATTTCTGCAGAAACCGTTGACAGGTACCACAAATTACAAGTAAAACAAGTAATAAGGTTTGCGATCCCCCAATGTCATGACACTCCTTCGATATTTGTGTCATGACCCTTCGATTCACTTTAGTCTCTAGTACTTATTTCACTATGTCATTCACTTCACCTGCTTCGCTCACTTCGCTCACTTCGCTTCACTTGCTGACCTAGATCAGCCCAAATGTTGACTACTGGCTTAGGCTCGCTTCACTAGGGCTCGGTTAATTAGTGCCTTCGCTTATTTGGCACTAGGGATTTTTACTGTTATATAAGCACTTATTGCTCATGTCTCTTATTGATCTTTAGCTAGCAAATTATACACTACTTGGCCTTCTTGCAATTCCTCCTGCTTTGACTTACTTTGCATTCCCTTACTTCAAGTCGAACCACTTGGCCAACCTGTTTGTCTCACCACTTGACCCCTGTGGTATAAAGTATATGCTTTGGAGCCTGAACTACTATACCTTGTCCTACTGCTTCGAGTATCGAAGCCTTCACATTATACTTCAGATACTTCTGCAGACTCGAAGGTCAGCCTCGGTTCGAACTGTCCTTACACCCAAGGGGTTAAAGTGGGGTATGGAATGGTTGTGGTAGTGCCGGCATGTTGACGCGACAGGCCTGGACGTTTAGACATCCAAATTGTTGCTAGGTCCCAACCTCCGCTGAACTTGCGACATGGAGTTTCGCGGAGATCGAATCGAGAAGGTGTTGATAAAGGAAGTGTTAGATTAGGGCAAGGAATCCGTCCCATAGCGCTTAGACGGGCCTATGGTGTTGTATAATTATCTGTGCGTTGGGATACCCTGCCAATTTGGGTGGGTTTCCCCAACTAAGCAGAAGTATCGCTTTGGGATGCAGAGAGTAGACAGTTGGAATTAGGGGCTTCCACAGGTAACACAGTCGTGATCGTGGAGTATACAGGACAATTGAATTAATTAACTATCTATCTACTGGGCCTACGTACTATTTGTAGACCGGCTCCTGAAGCTAGCTCATGCCTGAGGCCTGGTTGAGCTGGGCGATCCGCCCATCTCAAACGCCTAGCTAGGCAGCTTCAGAGCTGTCGCTGATCCTTATGCCAAAGCTGGTGCTAATCCTACGCCTCCGTAGTTTCTACGAGGCTGATGCCGATCCTACGCCCAGCTTTGCCTGGCAACAGTCTGCCCTGTACAGTCATGACGCGTTAAGTCGATACTCGATTCACGTTAAGTCGATACGTTTTGCTGGCCTCAACCCCCCTGTCCACTACCAAAATACGTTCGATATCTCGATATTTACGCTATCTCGATGGTATTTACGGGACCCGAGCTATCGACTTAACGGATTATGACTGTATATGCATGCCAGCCCTACGCCACCTACGTGGTGGCTTAGTGGTCCGATTAGGGGCCGGTATTACAATATGGGGCAAAAGATCTATATACCCTGCACCACCCCTGTAAATACCTATACGGCAAAAGAATAGAATACCCTGAACTTACCCATGTAAAGAACAGAATATGGTGTGGTGCTATTTGTAGGATGGTAATTTCGTAGAAGTGGGTAATCGTATGTAATTTGTGTGGTGTTCTCCAATCACCTAAAATTATCACTTTGGCACAGCCACACCACCACTTTCCTGTCGCTCACACCACCTACCCCATATCGTCGTTGCAAACTCAATAGCGACAACGATAATAGCTCTATCGATGAGCCTTTAGCAGACTCACCGCCCTCATTGTGGCAGGCCTACGAGGGCCAAGATTTCGAAGAACCAACGGTCGACAGCATGTCAGCTCTTGCTGAGCTCTCCGTTACAGAAGATGGCGCCGAGTTCCTGGATTTAGACGCTGTTATCCGGGCTTTAGACGACTGGGCCGTCAAGGACAAGTTCTGCTTCTGGACGAAGAAGCGCGACGTTAATGGAGCCACAAGCAATTTGGCCGGCTGGCTAGCTGGAATTATCACGGAAACTGCAGCCAATTACATATCGTAGAATAGGGCCCCACGGGTATTCTATTTTTTACGCAAAGGTCAGGGTATTCTGTTCTTTACATGGGTAAGTTCAGGGTATGCTATTCTTTTGCCGATATCTATATACCCAACGCTGACTATCAATAGATTCTGCCGCATTTAGTCAGCATCGCTAGCCCCATGCCTCACTGTAGCCAACCATGTTTCCCGCCTATAACACAGGTCCCACGGCGGAGGCCAAAGAAGAGGTTCCAGAAGGAGGACCCACGGAGGAGAGTTGGCAGGGGAGAGGGAGCTTCTGGTGGCGGTGTTCTACTTGTGGGGAGCAGGGCCACAATATGAGAACCTGCTGGTGCCCGCATGAGTAGGGCGCTTTCACGAGTATGGTAGGAGCATAGTCAGTGGAGCAGCGGTGTCAAATGGGACATCAGGGTCAATAGAGTCACGAAGGAAGCCGAAGGCGTCAGCAGGGTATATAAATCTTTTATTAAAGCTCAGGGTATATGAATCTTTACAGGGGTGGTGCACGGTATATAGATCTTTGCCCTATATTGTAATACCGGCCCTAATCGGACCACTAAGCCACCACGTAGGTGGCGTAGGACTGGCATGCATATACAGGGCAGACTATTGCCAGGCAAAGCTGGGCGTAGGATCGGCATAAGCCTCGTAGAACTACGGAGGCGTAGGATAAGCACCAGCTTCATAGAAGCTGGGCATAAGGATCAGCGCCAGTTCTGATCATCATCGCGTGCCAATAAGGTTCGGCGTGATACCGAACCAGGACAGGGACCCCCCTGTCCTGGTTCCAGGGTCACGCCCTCGTATAGGTAAATGCTCAAACGCCCCGAATAAGTGTGAATAGGATCCTGCGCTGTAACCTTACGGAGCCCCCAAGCTTAAGGTCAAGGATATTGAGCAAGTATCGCGATGCTTTAGATGAACGGTTCGGCGGATGGCGCACGGCTCCACAAGTCGATGCGACGGCCCTTTTAGAGGTCAACAGGGTCTAGTGCCTGTGCGGGATGTTCCGCAGCGTGCCTGGATTTTAATCTCTATTCTCTCGCAACATCACCACTCACAGCGCACGCCCGACATTTGAAGTCGGTCATCGATACTAGGATCGCTGCAAGGTCCTCATCCTTCACCAAACATTCTTCTTCACATGGTCGTAAAATCGATGTTGAGAGTCCATTTATAGTAACGTTGCCGACGCGGCCTTTCTTTCTTATGGGCAGAGCCAAGGAACTATGACCTTATCATTATGAAAGCCATGCTTTGCTATAAAAGGTGGGGGTTGAGAAAGAGAGATATATATACTACGATGAGGACGAGGTGTGGAAGACAGTATCGCCAGCCGACTTCAGCATCGACAACCTAGCTGCTGCACTATCCTTTCGAGAATTATATATATATTTGGAAATCTACTTGCACAGATTTATTCAATTATCAGCTAACCATGTTGTCCTGGACGAAGAAGCATCTTGCTTTACTATTAGCCATCCCAGCGGTATTCGCGTCTCCAACCCATCCCACCTCCCACACAATTGTTACCAGCGCCCCCCTCCAGCCTATCGCTGGCCGAAATGTCTCCGGTTTTAGAAATGCAGCTTATTTCGTGAATTGGTTAGTAGTTGTGAACGACGAGGCAAGATCTCAGCTAACAGAAACCAGGGCAATCTACGAACGTAGCTACTTGCCACAGCAGCTCCCAGCATCGGAGCTGAGTCACGTTCTATACGCCTTTGCCAACATACGCCCAAATGGCACTGTGTAAGCCTTAATTATACATGCGGTTCTGAGAAATGCAAATGCTGACAGCCCATAAGCTACCTCTCTGATGAGTGGGCAGACCTACAGATCCACTGGGAGGGAGACAGCTGGAGTGACACCGGAAGCAATGTCTACGGATGCATTAAGCAGTTGTATCTCCACAAGAAAAAGAACCGTGCCATGAAGACGCTGCTCAGCATTGGTGGCTGGACCTATTCCGCAAACTTCCGCGTCCCCGCCAGCACTGAGGCCGGACGAAAGGAGTTCGCATCGTCCGCAGTCAAGTTGGTTGCAGACCTTGGCTTTGACGGAATCGATGTAAATACTCCCTTCCCAAACGCAGAATCAAGCTAACAAATTCCCTAGATCGACTGGGAGTACCCCGCCAACGACGAGGAGGCCAAGAACATGGTCCTCCTCCTCGCCGCCTGCCGCGAGGCCCTCGATGCATATGCCGCCAAACACGCCCCAGGTTATCACTTCCTGGTCACCATTGCCAGCCCCGCCGGACCACAAAACTACAAGAAGATGCACATGAAGGAAATGGACGCCTACCTTGACGCCTGGTACTTATTAGCTTATGACTACGCCGGATCCTGGAGCACTATTGCAGGCCACCAAGCCAACCTCTTCACAAGCATCGATAACCCCGCTACCACCCTCGTCTCCACCGACACGGCCGTTACTGACTACATCGCCGCCGGTGTAACTGCCAGCAAGATCGTCCTGGGCATGCCCATCTACGGCCGCTCATTCGAGGCCACCGAGGGTCTCGGCAAGCCATTCACCGGCATCGGCGCCGGCACCTGGGAGAAGGGCGTCTGGGACTATAATGAACTACCCAGATCCTCAGCGACCGAATACCACGATGACAAGGCTGTCGCGGCGTACAGCTACGATGCTGCTACCAAGGAGTTCATCAGCTACGACACGCCGGTGGAGGTTAACGCCAAGTCTGAGTACGTCAAGTCGAAGGGTCTTGGTGGTGCTATGTTCTGGGAGACTTCTGCGGATAAGAAGGGTAACAACAGCTTGATCTCGGCGGCAAAGAACAAGTTGGGGTCGCTCGACCAGAGCCAGAACCTCCTCAATTACCCCACTAGTGTTTATGATAACATGAAGGCTGGTATGCCAGGACAGTAAGCGCGGAGTGAAGCAGAATTTCCCGTGCTGTTCGATTCGTCGGTACATGGCATTGGTTGTTGCATTTTGTCATTTCGCTCTGTACATCCTGTTAGCTGCGTTAGCGTTGCGTATTTATGATTTTGATATCCAATTTGCCATCCTGTTAGCTGCGTTAGCGTTGCGTATTTATGATTTTGATATCCAATTTGCGATCTGCAGTTGTCTCGCCGGATCGACACAAGCGCATCTTCACCCCAACACTTACATGCAGTATCTCGTAACCTCTTCCCTGCCGTCCACCCCTTGGCTCCCCCACAATACTTCAAACCCAATCTCCCCCCTCTTTCCCCTCTCCTCAAATATACCCTCTGCAAATGCTTCTCCAACCCCTAACAACCCCAAGCTCTTCACCCACTGGACCGCCACTCTCCCCTCATATCCCCACCTCGTCCTCCGCCACGCAACCCCCTCCTCCATCCCTACCCGCCTGGCTACCATCCGCAACCCCGCAGACCGGGCTCACATCACCTCGCAACCGACTCTCTGGGACGACTTGACTGCCGCTACCTGGACTGCTGCCCAGCAAGCGCGACTTGGATAACCTGGATGTGTTGGTAGAAGTTGATGGGGTGGTGGTAGGGGTGAGTGCTATAGCGACGATAGAGAGGGAAGGAGAAGGAGGGGGAGAGGTTACTGAATGTAGGTGTTATGCTTGAGGAGGGCGTGAGGGGAAAGGGGGTGGGTAAAGCGGTGACGGGGTGTTTGGTGGAGATTGCGTGGATGATGGGGGGGAGGGTGGGTGTTAGGACGATGAAGGCGAATAAGGGGATGAGAGGTGGAGGAGAAGGTAGAGGATGTGATGATGGAGGGTAGGGGGTTGGTGGCGGAGATTGTGTATGTGGTTGAAAAGGAGAAGTGGGAGGAGCTTGGGGTTTGGTTTGCATGGAGTTTGGAGAGAAGTGTAGTGAATAGCACAATATACGTTCTCAAAGCACACTTCGAGTCCTTACGCTTGCACTCCGATATAAAGAACAGGCCCCTCCATAACTACAGCAAAAAGGAAATCAATCAATCAATCAAAAATGCAAAAGACCTATCAGATCTCGGCGTCTTAAGATCTGATGAGGAGAAAATCAGTTGATTTTACTTTTTGGTGTGATGTTGTGTCGATTTGAGTTGATTTGAGTTGATCGTCTCCAAACTCTTTCTTTCTTTCCTTTCCTCGCCGGGACTCGAATCCATAACCACCCCTTCCTCCGCTGGCCAGATTGTCCAGACAGTGGTACTTCCACTGCGCCACTGTGCCGCTTGATTTGAAGAGGTCTTAAGTTTGTTTATAAAGGTTGGGGTTGCTTCGCTTGGTGTTGTAGTCATGTGCGAGTGTCTGGGATAGGGTGGTGAGTGGTGAATAGGATGGAGCTCTACACTATCCCAACGATGCGGTCTCGCCTGGTCACTCGGCAACCGGAGGCAGCAAGGTAAAACTAAACACTGACATGAACTATCCGTTCCTTCATTCATTCTTTCTAGACCCAGCTAACTTCTTCGAATATCTAGCAGCTCATCCCACCCACCATCTAACAAATTCCATGCGTCTTCCCCGTCGTTCCCTGCAAACTATGCTCCTCGCCCTTATACACATCATGCTGCGACTGCCCCTCCAGCTTCTGAGCATGCGCCCTCTGGCGACCAATATAATCCGTGTACTCCTTCAGCATCCTCTTATCCATCTCATCCAACAGCCCAAGACTAAGCCTCATATCACAGATCAACTGCTCGCACCTGCTCCTGCTAAAGTCCTCCCTAATAACCACACGCAGCATCTTCATCTCATCCGTATGCGGCGCCATCGTATACGCCGGCACGATCCATCCCCGCTCCCGCAACTGATGCGCAATCGCAAACTCATCGTACCTCTTTTCCTTGGCAGAGTCAAGACGGAACGCCACGAGCGGCAGCCCCCGGCCCTCGCCATCACTCATGATCAGGAATCCCATATCCTTGAGCGCGGCAGCGAGCAGGTCCGCAGTGCGGGTGAGGTTGAGCATGATGGCGCGGTACCCATTCTTGCCGAGGCGGATGAGCTGGTAGTACTGGCCGATGATCTGGGAGGCGCCCTTGGAGAAGTTGAGGGTGAAGGAGGCCTGGTCGGCGCCGAGGTAGTTGACGTTGAAGACGAGTTCCTTGGGGAGGAACTCGGGGTCGCGCCAGATGACCCAGCCGACGCCGGGGTAGACGAGGCCGTACTTGTGGCCGGAGACGTTGATGCTGACGACGTGGGAGAGGCGGAAGTCCCATTCCAGCTCGGGGACGACGAAGGGCGCGACGAAGCCGCCGGAGGCGGCATCGATGTTGATGGGGGTGTCGAGGCCGCGCTCGTCGAGGAGGTCGTTGATTGCTTTGGCGTCTTCGTATTGACCGGTGTAGGTGGTGCCTAGGATGACGCAGATTCCGATCTATGTTTATTTAGCTTCGTTGTCATCTCGTTTGGCAGACAGAAGACTTACGGTGTTCTCGTCGACCAAGTCAACAGTCTCCTTGGGGTCAAGGACGTATCTCTCCTTGGTGCAGTACACGTACTTCTCCTCGACCTCGAAGTAGCGCATGGCCTTCTCCCAGACGACCTGCACGGCCGAAGACATAATCATGTTGGGCTTGTCGAACGGCTTCCCCTCCGCCTTGCGCTTGTTCTGCCAGCGCTTCTTCATGGCTAGCGTGGCCAGCATGACGGCCTCGGAGGACCCGACGGTCGAGGTACCGATTGAAGCTGCGTCGCTATGGACGGGGGCATTGAAGAGGCGACCGATCATGGATACGCAACGGTTCTGGATCTCGGCTGTGCGGGGGTACTCTTCGTAGTCGATGAAGTTCTTGGCGAGGGACTCGGTCATGAGGTCCTCGACTTCTTTTTCCTGGGGAGTGTTAGCATTGTTCGTGGATTACTCGAAGTTGGATTGTGGGTATTAGGAGCAAGCAGCGAAGTTGGATTGCCTAATTCCCTCGACGACGAACATCAATGGCACCACCAGGCACTAATATCGACAAAACAACTAATAAACTCTCAAATAGCTCACCATGAAAGTCGTCACAAAACTGGCCAAGCTACCCAAACCGTCAGCACAATCAACCCAACCCAACCCTCCTCACACATCACTCACTTCAACATCGGATTCCCATCCAAGCTCGTCTCATCCTTAATCATCCGATACGCGACCTCCTTCGGCATACCCCCCTCCGGCATCTCATGCTTAGGCAAATCCTCCGCCGCATACCGACTCGCATACACAGACGTCATAAACTGTTCACCGGCCTGCTGGCCGCTCTGCTCGCGGCCGGTCAGCACGGCTTTAGCTAGGCGCTCGCCGAGTTGCTTGACGGGGCCGGATTCGGGCTCTTTGGCGGCGCCGTCGACGGCGGAGCTGGGCTGGAGGGAGGAGTCGGTCGGGATGCCGGTGAGGTGGACCATTGTTACGGTGGTGGGGTGTGTGTTTGAGGTGTGGTTGTGTTTGTCAATTGATCAGTGTGACTTTGGGGACGAACAGAAGTAAACAGAGGGGTATTGGGGGGGTACTGGGTAAATATACCCCTCACGGTGGTGGTGGTTGGAGCTGTTTTTGGTCCGGTAATCAGCGTGTAGAGAGACATGCGCCGAGGCGTGTCCAAGGATCGGTTCCGCGTCGAAAAAGCTTGGTTTTGGGAACGCTGACCCCACCCAAGATATCCCATTTATTCCCTCCTTATCCCACTCTCCGTCCATCCGGCAGCCAGAAAGACGACGGCTACCAACAATACAGTCGAGTCGTATATCCATTCTTCACCAACTACGACGCGGTATGGACAGATTTGGTACGCGGATGTGCGGATGCGCGGATGTGCGGATTCACACAGATGCAGCTCCGTGGCACGCTCACTACGACCTTTGCTCACCCCCTCCTTGATCCCCATTCGTCGCCGCCGGGGAGTTGATATGCGATATGTACGACCCTTCCCATCCCAAACATAGCATATGCATGCCCCTGCCGCTCTTACGTACCAGCACCACCCCGTTGTAGGGTCTGTCTCGGACGTGGATGCTTGCTGTGAGGTGAGGGAAGGGGCGTGGGTTGTTGGTTTGTCGACGGACGAGAAGGGTGGCTTGAGGACGAATTCTATGGCTTGTTGATCTGTTTTGTGGCGTGTCGATGATGATGATGATGATACTTATTTACGTCCAGCGGGACGCGGGTGTAACCCGCGGCCCTAAGACCTCCCGAAGGGTAGGGACGTGCTAACCTATGGGTTTATGTACAGAGTATGACCTTAGAGAGCAGTTCTTGCGTGTTTGCGTGGGCCCGTTGACTAAGAGCCTTCCCTGCTAGTCGGGATGGTGTTAGGTTTGCTAGTAGAGGGCGGTGCCTCGGAGGTTCTCCTAAAAGGGGGTGCATGCGGGACCGGTTGGTCTGATGTTATAAGCTAGTGCGAGTGTGGTGTGTAGTGTGCCCTACGGCCTTGCTGCGGAGTTGTAGGCTCTATAGCTTACTAGCAGGTGGTAACATAGTAGGAAAATTAGGAATGGGTGTCTTTAAACAAAGTATAGTGTCTTTGAAGGGAGTATCAGGGTGTTTGACCTAGACCCCGACTGCTAGTTTGTGAAAATATATAGTAGATATCCTCTAGGACTATGTCACATTAACCTAGAGCCCCTATAGGGCTAGTAGAAGCTGTGGCTTTCTTAGGCTATATAGGGGTAAGTTGTGCTAGGCTAGCCTAGTAGGTGTAGATTTTTATGTAGAACTCTGTGACCTAGAGGAGTGCTGCGAAGTCTACTAGTTTAGCCATTAGGCATGAAAGGTATTCAAGGCCTATGGCGTTGTTGTCTAGTGGTGCTACTAGTCGCTAGGGCTAGTGGCCAAATGTAGATACGTGTGACGCTAACTTCTAAACGATAGAAGACACAGAGGTTTCTTGCGTAAGGTTGACTTGACAGAGGAGGTAGGGGATTAGACACAAAGGATTTCTAAGTAACACGTTATAAAGAATACTATATTGAGTTGAGCACGAAGCTCCTATCTAAGGAAATACTATCTACTTATATAGTGGTGTTGTGCCAAAGGGATATCTGTAATGGTGGGTGCACCAGATGTGAGAATCTAGCCACCCAAGGAAGGGATGATTTTACTAAGACAACACACTGTCTTAGAAAAAGAGCCAAAGGGTCGTAGCTTAGACTATTCCACAACGCAGCAATCAAGTGTATGATGTAGTGGAGTGGTTTAGACAAGTTGTACAAATGTTGAGTCTGAGAACTCAGGGATAAGTCAGAGATTAGCACCTCACTGACTTTTCAGAAACAAGGAGTAACAAGATCAATGCTTGGAAGCTTGGAAAAGACATGGAAGTATGTGATAGTCGATTTACTGTATTGTCTGCTTGCCCTTTCTTAAGGAAAGGGCAATCCTATTTATGCTAAAGGAGTGTAGTTCTCTAATTTTCCAAGACTTTCCATGACTAACCAGGCTTGGTAACTGTAGTCAATGTAAGAGAATCCCATAGAATCATCTCCTAGGTTCCTAGCCTATAGGAAGTGAAAGGAGGTCCAAGGTCAGAGTACCCCTATAGACAGATTATGTCATAACTTAACCAATCTTGTAGGTAACTAACATTTGTTGCACTCAGTTTGCTATCAAACTCAAGAGCAAACTTAGAAATCTCCTCCTCAAACCTACAAGTCACTATACATATTTTGGCTTGTCACACCAACAACAAGAGCAATACTACTCAACGATTGCTATAACCCTCTATGATTCATTACACGTCATTTCTCCTTAGTTACTGGGCCGATATGACCACATAGCATATCTCTACAACCCTCTATGATTCATTACATGACATCACTCCTTAGTTACTGGGCTAATACTACACATGACATATCTCTATCAACTAGAGGCCTAGGAACATGAACGATAGCTCCAAAAGCTTCTACAACCCTCTATGATTCATTACATATCATCGGTCCTTAGTTACCTACAAGATTGGTTAAGTTATGACATAATCTGTCTATAGGGGTACTCTTACCTTGGACCTCCTTTCACTTCCTATAGGCTAGGAACCTAGGAGATGATTCTATGGGATTCTCTTACATTGACTACAGTTACCAAGCCTGGTTAGTCATGGAAAGTCTTGGAAAATTAGAGAACTACACTCCTTTAGCATAAATAGGATTGCCCTTTCCTTAAGAAAGGGCAAGCAGACAATACAGTAAATCGACTATCACATACTTCCATGTCTTTTCCAAGCTTCCAAGCATTGATCTTGTTACTCCTTGTTTCTGAAAAGTCAGTGAGGTGCTAATCTCTGACTTATCCCTGAGTTCTCAGACTCAACATTTGTACAACTTGTCTAAACCACTCCACTACATCATACACTTGATTGCTGCGTTGTGGAATAGTCTAAGCTACGACCCTTTGGCTCTTTTTCTAAGACAGTGTGTTGTCTTAGTAAAATCATCCCTTCCTTGGGTGGCTAGATTCTCACATCTGGTGCACCCACCATTACAGATATCCCTTTGGCACAACACCACTATATAAGTAGATAGTATTTCCTGAGATAGGAGCTTCGTGCTCAACTCAATATAGTATTCTTTACAATACTGTAACGTGTTACTTGGAAAGCCTTTGTGTCTAATCCCCTGCCTCCTCTGTCAAGTCAACCTTACGCAAGAAACCTCTGTGTCTTCTATCGTTTAGAAGTCAGCGTTACAGTGAGGTGGAGTGTGGTGATATAGCAGGGTGCGATCTAGCCTATGTTTGCTTAGTAGACCTATAGGTCTCTGTTTCGAGGTCGTTTCTAGCGGCACTAGCCGTGGCTTAGGGTATGGTTTCCTAGCATAGAGGGGTGGTGATGTTGACGTCCATGGCCTCTTAGGGGCTGCTAGGTGTTTGGTCTGCTAGGTGTTTGGTCTGCTAGGTGTTTGGTCTGCTAGGTGTTTGGTCTGCTAGGTGTTTGGTCTGCTAGGTGTTTGGTCTGCTAGGTGTTTGGTCTGCTAGGTGTTTGGTCTGCTAGGTGTTTGGTCTGCTAGGTGTTTGGTCTGCTAGGTGTTTGGTCTGCTAGGTGTAAGCTCTATGCAGATAGGTCTGCTAGGTTGAGGCTGTGGCAGGAGGCTGTTCCGCTAGGGGCGTCTGCTAGTGCTAGCTTAAGAGAAGGGGGTACTACTAGTTGTGCTGACTTTTTCATGTGCTATGATAGCTGTGCCCCGTTTTCTCTTAGGTAGGGTGGGCACAACATTAGTCACTAGGCCTTAGACCTCGGGTTAAGGTTGTGTTTCTAGCGTAGGCTCTGTAGTAGCTGGTGTGTAGGTGTTCTAGAATTCTCTGTCCCCTAGTTCCCGTTTAGTAGGCTTGATGATTGTGCCATTCTTCTGTTTAGGGGTAGCAGGGCAGTGGTCATGTCCTATAGGGAAGGGGCTGTGGTAGTTAGTGTATCTTGCTTTCTCTATGCATAGGGCTGGTGTGGAGGTCTGCTTGAGTGCTATAGTGGTTGCACTGTGTATATCGCGTGCATTTTGTAGGGTTGTAGTATCCCTAGCAGCCTAGGTCATGTCTAGTAATAGCTGCCTTCTCTATTACTTTAGAGAGTTCGCTAGCATTAAAGAGGTGGAAGTACCTCCTAACTAGCATAAGGAAGGAGACAATCTAAGTGATTTTCCCCGTCTATGGCTTTGCCCTATGTTAGGAGGCTCGGCAGCTTATAGGTCTCTGTTTCGCCTAGGTAAACTTCTTTACTAACCAACTCTACAGTGTTAGTGATTGTGTTGCCTATGAGTTGGTGGATAGTGCTAGGGGCACCTAGGACTGCGTAGTTATGCTAGGTCTCTGGTTGTTTGATTGCCGTTGCCTTAAAAATGCAAAGGGTCATTTCTGCATTCTCCTGGTCTATAAGGAGGTCCTAGGTGGCTACATTAGCTAGGGTAATAGCCTATCCTATGCGTGTATGGGCGATAGTTAGGACTAAGGCTAGGGTGAGGCTGGTGATTTTGGTGCTGAGTTCCTAGCGTAGTGGGAAGGGTTTAGGTCGCTAGAGTAGAGCACCCTGCTCTACTATAATAAGGAGCCTCATGTCCTGCTTTAGAGCAGTCCTATAGCTATGGCTAGAGCCTATGGCGTAGGAGGTTACATTAGCTGCTCTGCTGCTAGAAACAGACGAGCTAGGGGCCCTAGCTCCCTAAAGAGAAGCCCCTGAGTTTTTGAGGGTCTTAGCCACATCCACCATTTTGGCCCTATAGAGGTAGTTGCTAGTAAGGGCTGGCTTCTAAGGTGGATAGGGGCATAGTTGGAAGTTTCTACATATAGAGAGGTAGTGAGAAAGCTAACTACCTTGTTATAGAGGTCGTAGGCGAAAGTGTGATGCTCTAGGAGCTTATAGGAGGACACAAACTTGTCTACTGTGCTAGTGAAATAATACATAACTATGCGCTATATCTTAGCTTCCCTTTTAATGGCATCAAGTTGTGCCACTAATGGCTGCTGTGCTTTGTGACTGTTAGGCGCGCTTTCACCTAAGCTAAGGCATAGAGGAGGCACATTGTTAGTACCAAGTGTCTTCTGCTGTCTCTTAGAAGTGTGGTTGATGTTAGATGGTGATTGTGGCTCCTAGGGGCGAGTAAAAGCGCTGTCTTAGGGGTGTATATCTAGCCGTTAGGGAGTTGAGGCCTCTATCACCACCTAGGGATGCTCGAAAGGAGCAGGAATGGATGGAGATGGGGGTTGTAATGCGTAATTAACTAGAAGTAGAGCGCTAAGGGTATATGTAACAATGTACAGTTACGCTCGTGCTACATCCTACTAAGCCAAAAAGACTATACATAGTATTCCAGCTTGCCTAGAATACACATAACATGCTTTATATACCACATGTACTGTAACAGCAGCACCCCGTTACAATTACCCCCCCCTTTAGTCTGTGACGTCCTAGCATAGATGTAGAGATATCATCTTGTACTTGCTTCTAGGCCTGTTACTACTTAGGATGCTAAGGTGTGTATATAATAGCTTAAGCCCCTAAGGACGCCCCCTTGTCAGCTAGGTAAGGAATTACACTGATTGCTCACTTAGCCCACCCAACTAGCGAGCCAATCAAAACCCATTGACCGGGGAGCCGGAATACTCTTGTAACGATGTACGGTTACGCTCGCGCTACATCCCACTGAGCCAAAAAGACTTACAGTATTCCGGCTCGCCCGGAATACGCGTAACTCGCTTTATATACCACATGTACTGTAACGGCGGCACCCCGTTACAGTATAGGGGGAAAAAGTTGTGAGCAATTTGTCAATTTGAGAAAATAGTTGTAGGTGTGTCGACGATGATGGTGAGCTAGGTTAAGCAGAGGGAAGTATGGGCTTGGGGAATCTTCAGAAACCCATACCCGATGTACCCGGATTTCCTCATCAAGCCAGACAATCTGGTACAGGAGCTTTGGTGGACGACGGGACTCATGTCCTCCTCCAATCAGCATGTGCGGGATGGGAATATGATTCATCTAGGCGGGGAGAAATATGCGTTGTGATTACATGTAAGGCTTCTTTGGAAGCTCCTAGAATAGCTTCTGACAGTAGAGCTTCAAAAAGTAGATACCCTTCCCTACCATACCAAACAGATCAGCATCACAAGTAAACGCAAACTTCATAATCTTGATAACACTACTATTCCACATCCAAATTCCGCGATCCAATTATAGTAGTATACAAGCGCCTTGTCGGCCCCAAAACCACCAGCCTGAGCGCAAAATAAAAAAGGTCTATCATCTATGCATCTCTCTAAGTTGCGCCCGAGCCAGAAAACAAGAAATATCTTCTCGCCGCGCCCTTGAAGAAAAACAGCCGGGAACATTGTTTGCAATGCGATGTCAGTTCAGATTCCCACCGCCTTTCCGTTGACAGGATAGTCCCTGTCTACTCCTCCTTTTTCCAGTTTTCCTACCATCCACTTTCTACATCTCCAATTCGTCTAGGTGCGTGAAAATCTATTTCACGGCAATCTCAACACCGCCGACGGCGCCGAGGGCCTTCTTGACTGTAGGGAATGTGTTAGCCGTGATCCAATACATGCACAGAAGCACGGCTGGGGGTTATCTTACCATCACCGTAGATAGCGAACTGTCCAGCGGTCAGGGTTCCGACCATGAACAGACGGGCGCCAATGCCGGTGTACGAGCCCTTAAGACCGAGCTCCTTGGCGATCTTTATCAGGCGGGTGGTGGTGCCCTCTCCGGGAGCGCCCTTGGTCTTGTTGATCTTGGAAAGCATGGTGTCGGCTGGCTGGGAGATGAGGGCGGCGGCGAAACCGGCGATGAGACCGGAGCCGAGGTTGACACCGGTCTGGGCGCCGTCGGAGAGGGTGGAGCGGTCGACCTGCTTGTAGACGGCCTCGACGACCTTCTCGTACACGACGAACTTGGCCATGGTGTATGGGACCCTGTCGATTCATTAGTTTCGGGCCTGTGGGAGGGGGGTAGAGGTTTGAGGGATTGGGGGAGAACGTACTGCTTGAACAGGAGGGGACCGAAGCCGGCGTAGAAAGAGCCAACACCCTCAGTCTTGAGCATCTTGCTGAAGCCGCCGATCAGGCCGTTGGCGTAGGTAGGCTCGGCAACGAGACGGATACGGGTAGCTTCAAGAGGGCAAAGGGCGACATCGGCGAAGAACTCGGCGCACGCGGCGGAGGCGAGGTAGACGGCGGTGCGGTTGTTGGCGGCAGTCTCGTAGCCGACGAGGCCGATGGACTGCTGCTTGAAGAACTCGTAACCTCCGAACTTGAAGGCGCCCTGGAGGAAGTAACCGGCAAAGGTTGGGCCGAGACCGGTCAGAAGAGCACCAGCGCCCTCCTTGGCGATGACCTGGCGGAATCCACCGATCAGGCCGCGGTTGTAGGTTGCTGGGTCGAGCTGGATTCTGGTCTTGACGCTGTGAGGAGACGGTGTTAGCTGATTTGAACTTCTCGGGTTGATTGTGGGTGGGATGCTCCAAACAAGGGTCGATGGGAACAGATTGATTGAGCCGAGGGGATCAGGAGCGGCTGAGACTTACACATCGACGGGGGTGAGAGCACCGTGGGTGATGGAGCAGCAGAGGGCACCAGCGATGGCGAATCTGGAGTAGAGAGCGGCGCCGCTGAGCTTCTCGGGAGTCTCAGCCTTGACGACAGCAACTGCGGAAGAGGCCATTGTGAGTGTGTAGGAGGTTGGGATGTGAAGTGAGGAGAGAAAGTATAGAGTGGAGATGTAGAAGTTCAGTGGTCCTGAAAAGACTACTGACTGAAAGTATCTTGGAATGGAGATGGATTGGAGATGGAGATGGGAGAGAAGAGGTTTTGGCGAGAGTCGACGGTAATTGCCTCGAGGGCGTTCAAAATTTTAGGGGCCGGGTATAATCGGGGCTAGCGAGATATTAATTTGTTGCTTGTGTTGGCTTGGAAGGCTGGGAAACTTCGGATAATCTTCGTCCGGAGTGGTTGGAAGTGGTGGAAGTACTCCGTACCTACAAATAACTCCACTTAGCCCATCACGACTCGCCAATTCGGAACGTGGACACCCAAATCGACTCGTCATTGTTGATTTTGTCTCGGCGACCGCGACGGGAATTTTATATTTATATGTTTATATACGGGGTGTATATAATATACAGGGCATAACAGACATGTTCGGATGAGTTATTTCCATTCTTTTGCGTGTATCTTCGCACACCATAGAGCGAGCCGGTTGAAGAGTACCCTGAAGAGCCTATCTCCGCCTAAAGTCCACTTGACATTCCAACAAGTGGAGATGCATCCGCTTATCCGGCCGCCCACGGCTTCAAATGCCTCCCAAGACATTGGATAGTTGATATTATTCGGCATTGAGTCAGGGTTAAGTTGTTCATGGTACTTTGGTAGAAGCCATTGTACGGCATGGCAATTTTGAGGCCCTCGCGCTGATCTAGTTGTCCCCTTTCACTATGTGACAGGCCGTCTTGACTACAACGTATAGGCCGTAACTTGCGGCTTGTTGCTGCGACGTGTTGCACCGCGACATTAAATGGCCATAGGTGAGCAGGTTAAGCAGGGCGAGCGATAGGTGAAAATAGTATACATAGCTAAGCTCCTACTTTCCTTCGGTCTATAGAAATTATGCATTTAAACGCTTTTGTTATTTGTTGCTCTATCATACAAGAAAAGAGTAATGACATATCGTTTATCGATATGTTTACGATTGCTTATGACCTCTTTGCATGCTACCTTTGCAGTCGCCTTTCCATTTCCTTTCAATACCATTAGAAACTTTTCGTAAGTCTCTTCTTCGTAGTCTCACCCTCCAATGCTATAGCCGCGACCTTTGTAGAATTTAAAAGATCCGGTCCTGCAAAACTCGCCTTTTGTGGCGCCTGTGGCCTGAAGCACAATGCCCTCAATCATTAACTCATAAATCTAGTCTTCGCCTTCATGTTGTGTCCTAGTGCTAGTTTTTCCACTGAAGATAGGCAACAGATAGCATAGTTTACCGGGCGGTGTGTTACTGTCGTCTTGACAGTCTATCTGGACGGAATAAGTTAAGATCCCTATAGCCAGCATATAACTCAATGATGGCATCTGCTTTAGGCAGGATTATTAGATTCACTGGGGTGGACCAAGTAGCCGGCTGCCATAGTTGAGCAAGCAACTCGAATGACTCCACTGGTCATCTGCCCGAACGGATCATAGCCGTATTTTGTTGTGTACGCATCTAAGACTTGCGCGTACGCGGTTTCAAGGATACCTTTCTGCCGAGCATACCAGGTCACGTTTCCATCTATAGAGGCCCAAAACCAAGTCGGCGCTCTCCAAGGTGGTCGTGGTCGCATAATACTGGATTGTAATCTCGGACGAGCCCAGCATAGCTGCTCCTCAAGGTTATCCCTCCACAACCCCGCAAGATAGAGATCGCCGGTTTCAGTATATCCAAGTCTCGCGGTTCCAGAAAGTGCTGGCAGTTTATCGTTCCCAAAGGTTAGATTTGCTGCAGAATAGAGCCGCACGATATCAGGCCAGTGGAGTTGCAATTTCCCCTTTCGGCTGACAAGGGGCGAGACTTGTAAACGTGGAAAACCATCTGGCAAGTACTCGGATGCAATTGTCGTTCTGCATTCCCAGAAAGCACCTCGGTCGCGAAGTGAACTGTTCGAGGGGGTAGCATTTTCTCTTGCAGTGCCCAGGCTCTAGTTCCCAAATGAGTTTCAAAAGTTGAAAGATCGTAACCTCGTTGGCTTCGAAAATCTTGTACTCTTCGTAGCTCACCGTAAGTTATTCGAGCTCGAAAACCGCCGCTGAAATAGGGTTGATTCATAAAACATCCTTGTCTACCATCAAGAGCGGAGGACGCAGCTATCGTGATAGTTGAGCCACCAAAGACCGAGCCCATCAGAGCCGACTCTTTTTGCCAATCATCTACACTATCTTGGATGATACACAGCGAATCAATCCACAGATAATCCAAACCCAATCTTTGTGTAATCTCAATAGCATCCTTAAATGTTTTTGGGAATCTCTCAACGGGTAGTGCCTCGACATACGTGTCTAGATCATCTGAAGTGAGTTTTGTGACGTCGTAAGACCCCCAGCTATGTGATAAAGTGGCATATCTCGGCTTATTGTGACATTCAGAAGTTAGCACCAAACGCGGCGATTCGCCAGAAATTGAGATCAGCCTAGTTGGTAGCGTGCCGTTGCCATTGCTTTTACATTATTCGTTGTTCAATGAATTTAGCATCAAGCTCGTCGGAATACACGGCCTGAACGATATCGGAATCGTTTGAGAGATCATCGCCTCCCGCCGCTGTATATTCTCGGAACCATTCTCTGAATATCTTAGCTTTGGAGCCTTGCATCTTCATGGCAGGATAATGCCTTCCGTGATTCTAACGTAGCTATTGACCAATTAATTCATGGGCAAAAACTCGATATACCCAGTAAACTGGTAAGAAAACTCCATCTACCCAGTTGGCCGCTAACCCTCCTTTGGAAAGGTTAACGAGCCAATGAGAGGCGTACTCTCATTTGAGAGTACGTGCTCTCATATGGCCTTTTTGAAGCAATTGAGCTGGCAATATACCAGCTCAATTGCACGGTAAGTCGGGGGTCAATTGAGACCCCAAAACCTCCTCCCCCTTCCCTTCCTCCCCTCCACCACAGAACCTCGCTGACACCTCCCAGGCTCACTCCCTCCTCCAACCCCCTCGAAACCCCCCTCGGAAGCCCTCGCGCGAGGCACAAACTCCCCCGCCTCCCCTGCCCCTGCCTCCTACGATGGCCTCGCTAGCCGAACTCGCTGCCCCTGTCGACGGTAGCGAGTTCCTCGACTTGGACGCTTGGTCCCTCAAGGAGTAGTTCTCCTGGCGGCTCCAGAAGAGGGACAAAGACGGGGCAACCGCCGTTTGTGCCCGGCGTCCTCGAGGACGCCGGGCTCGCCGGGATCATGGAGGACTTCTGCCACTTGGGGCAGTCGTTGCAGCTGTGCCGGACTTGGTCCGCACACGCTGCGGCACCTGTGGCGAGCCTGGGCATAATGCCAGGACTTGCCGCAGGCCTCATAATTGACCCGTTCTCATATGAGAACGGGGGGAGTTTCTAGATTGGGCTTGGGTGGGTCACGTGGGATGGAACTGGGTATATAGAATTTATTTATTGTTTTACTGGGTATATGGAGATTTTGCCCTTAATTCATTCAACCAGAAGGTTATAAATAAACCAATTACATACGTTATTCTGCCCCGAGGCATATTGTAATTCTCTTGTAGCGTTTACCTGCGGATTTAAATCTGCCATCTCTATTGTCGCCTAACTGATGGACGGCTTTTTAATGCCGAGGCATCAAAAACGGCGGAGCTTCCCCGCTACCCCACACAATCCTAGTCGTAGAGAAATGCCTCCCTATTAATGTGTTATACCTACAATCTATCCATTTAGAATAAATATATTACCCATTTACCATTTACTTACGGTCCCTTGTAATTTATTACAATATGCCCCAAACCTGGCAATCCATAGGCGCCCAAAAGCGTGCCGAGCAAGACCGAGCTATCCCGTCCGAATGGAAACTAAAATCACTCCCCCCGACCTCCCAGCTTGATGTCCGCTCTATCCCCTCCACGTGCGGCATCCTCACCGCCGACGAGATCTCCATAACAGAGGACCATGACGCCTACTCTCTCCTCAATGGCCTCCACGGCCAATCTCTCACAGCTCTCGAAGTCACAACCGCCTTCTGCAAGCGCGCCGCCATCGCCCACCAACTCGCAAGCTGCCTCACTGAGATATTCTTTGACCAGGCTCTTGCCCGTGCCAAAGAGCTAGATGACCACATGGAGCGCACCGGGCGCGCCATCGGCCCTCTCCATGGCCTCCCCATCTCCCTCAAAGACACCTTCAACATTGCTGGCATGGACTCCTCCCTCGGCATAGCCGCCATGGCCTTCCATCCCGCCCCGGCCAACTGCCCCCTAGTCGACATCCTTCTCGCCGCCGGCGCCGTCCTCTATGTCAAAACTAACATCCCGCAAACCCTCATGGCCCTCGACAGCATCAACAACGTCTTTGGCCGCGTCCTCAACCCGGCCAACCGCGCCCTAACAGCTGGAGGCTCCTCTGGCGGTGAGGGAGCTCTGCTCGCCCTCCGCGGCTCCCCGCTCGGCGTCGGAACCGACATCGGTGGCTCCATCCGCGTCCCGGCTATGTGCAACGGGCTGTATGGGTTCAAGCCGTCGTCCGGGCGGATTCCCTACGTCGGACCGATGGGCCGGCTTACGACGACGCGGGGACGACTGGGGTTGCAGACGTCGGCGGGCCCGATAGCGACGAGCTTGCGCGATGTGGAGGTGTTTATGGAGGTCGTGGCGAGGGCGCGGCCGTGGGAGAGCGCGGCGGATGCGCTACCTGGGTCTTGGGAGGAGCAGGGGCGCGCGGGGGATGAGTGGGAGAAGCCGGTGTTCGGGGTGATTCGGACTGATCACTCTGTTACGCCGTTGCCGCCCGTGGCGAATGTGGTGGAGGAGACGGTGGTGGCGCTGAAAGAGGCGGGGTTGGAGGTGGTGGAGATTGACGCGAAGGCGCTGGCGGAGTGTCAGATGCTGGCATATGGGTTCTTTGATATGGGGGATAATGCGATGTTGGATTTAATTGAGGAGACGAAGGAGCCGCTGATTCCATGGCTAGAGGGCAAGGTGGATAGGAAGGCGCCGAAGAGCGTGGAGTACGTCTCGGAGTTGCATGCGCAGAGGCTGGAGGTTATGAAGAAGATGTTACAGGTTTTCAAGACGCCAGATGGTAGAACGATCGATGCGGTTATATTGCCAGTTGCGCCGCATCCAGTGCCGGAGATTGATCGCTGGAATACAGTGGGGTATACGAGCAGCTTTGTGCTTTTGGATTGGCCCGCTGGAACCGTGCCCATCCGCAAGGTTAATGAGAAGGATTTGGAGGGAGAGGTGCAGGGGAAGTCGCTGGGAACCTTGGATGATAGAACGAGGATGCTCTGGGATCGCAAGACGGTGGATAGAAGGGTTTATTTGGATAGTGCGCTATCTGTGCAGGTAGTGGCGCCGAGATTGCAGGAGAGGAGGTTGTGGCAGGCGATGGACATTGTGGATAGAGTTGTGAAGAGGAAGGCGTCGACACAGGAAACGACAAAGGCGAAACTATAGGTCGAGAATAGTCAATGAACAGCTTGTAGCGGTTTAGTGGTGGGTATGTTGGTTCGAAGATGTGGTAACGTACATGCATAGCGAAAGCTCCAGCATAGCGAACGCTCCACCCCATTTTACACTACTCACGAATTTTGTAACTTAATATCTCAACAACCGTTTAGTAATAAATTATAAAATATTTAATTGGCCTTTTGTAAGCATTTAAAGCACTCTGCCTGAATTTTAAAGCAGCTGCGAGTATGGAATCTAGAGAATAAAAATGAATGGCCTTGATCTTTCATTCTAAAATTCATAGTAAGCAATTGCGTTCACTTGCTACACGTTCGTTATCATTTCTTCTTCTTCTAGTGCTAGACGCCTCATAGACTTGGTATCTAGGCTTCATAAGTCCGTCGTCTAGTGTTTGGCACAGATACTAATATACCCATAGTATCAGAGTATATCCTCGAGTATATACCTACCCTTTGATATTTAAAAAGTATCCGGAGTATCCAGACACTTTAGAGTATATATTGTAATGCTGACTTCTAAACGATAGAAGACACAGAGGTTTCTTGCGTAAGGTTGACTTGACAGAGGAGGCAGGGGATTAAACACAAAGGCTTTCCATGTAACACGTTACAGTATTTTAAAGAATACTATATTGAGTTGAGCACAAAGCTCCTATCTAAGGAAATACTATCTACTAATATAGTGGCGTCGTGTCATGGGTAATCTGGATAGTTGATGAATAGCTCAACTATCCAATATCCACTAGCCTGGTGTAAGGACACAGGGCACCCAGCTCACAGTAATAGCATATGAGAGTGCGAGTCACACCGGATTGCTGCGTTGTGGAATAGTCTAAGCTACGACCCTTTGACTCTGTTTCCTAAGACAGTGTGTTGTCTTAGTAAAATCATCCCTTCCTTGGGTGGCTAGATTCTCGCATCTGGTGCACCCACCATTACAAGTTCCGACTCGGTTAGCCCACCCAAATAATCACACGTGACCAGGGGGAACCCTGTGAGTCAATTCCTCAAGTACCCGAAACCCATCCGACTCGGTTAGCCCACCCAAATGATTACACGTGACCCTGCAGCTACCCAGAGTCTACTCCTTAGAATGAGAGATGAGAAGGCATCCTTACACCTGGTCAGGCTGCAGCCTGACCCCGCTAGCCCTGTGACTTCTTTGTTAGTCACGCTACAGCCTAGCCCCGCTAGCCCCATGACTTCCTAGGTCACGTTACCAAGCCTAGTTCTGCTAGCCCTGTAACTGGCATCACATTACCATAGCCGTAACATATATCTAGATATATGCCAAGTATAGCCAAGAGTAGCTAAGGCCCATTTTTGCAAACATCGTAAGACCTGTCTTTATGCTGTATATAGTGATAACTATCCTTAGAATGAGTGACTCGTCATTATTAGATATACCAACAGAGCTTAAGGGCTATAATAGCTATGATACTCATATTGAGCTAAGCTTACTAATGCTGCCTACCCCTATTCTACAGCATAATAATGCTACACTGCTCTAGCTCCAGCCTCTAGGACTGATGCTGCCACTGACAATGTTGATACTATTCACAACGCTATTATATTCACGATTGATACTTGATAGTAATACACCTACGGTTACAATAACCTGCTTACAACTTTACAACCAAACTGCGGATATTTACCTACACCACAACTATTAAGTCAGACTTCAACTAGTAATCTTTAGAAGCACTAGTTATACCTAAAAGCATCTAATGATAGCATATACAACAAAAAACTATAAAAATACACTGTCAAGCCCATCAAGTAGTGCATCATCATTTTTTAAGCCATGGAACTAGCAAATCCAGCCTATTCAAGCATCAAATAGTAAAGCAAAATACCGAGAGTTATTACTCTCATTTGTTGTATTAAGTAACCTCTCCTTACGACTTATTAAGAGCTATTTGTTTCATTAATTAGTGTAATTCTTAAGCCCAACTACTCCAAGTTGAACTATACTAATACTTTAATGATGACAAGTTCCCTACACAAGAGAGCTACACCCTATAGATGTTGTCCTACCTTAGGGAGAAGCTCTACAATAGGTCGAACCATTTTTCAAGGACTACTTGTAATGGTGGGTGCACCAGATGTGAGAATCTAGCCACCCAAGGAAGGGATGATTTTACTAAGACAACACACTGTCTTAGGAAACAGAGCCAAAGGGTTGTAGCTTAGACTATTCCACAACGCAGCAATCAGGTGTGTGATGTAGTGAAGTTGTTCAGACAAGTTGCAACAAATGTTGAGTCTGAGAACTCAGGGATAAGTCAGAGGTTAGCACCTCACTGACTTTTTAGAGACAAGGAGTAACAAGATCAATGCTTGGAAGCTTGGAAAAGACGTGGAAGTATGTGATAGTCGATTTACTGTATTGTCTGCTTGCCCTTTCTTAAGGAAAGGGCAATCCTATTTATGCCAAAGGAGTGTAGTTCTCTCATTTTCCATGACTTTCCATGACTAACCAGGCTTGGTAACTGTATTAGAAATCAAGTGCGACCCACAACTAGCTTGCTAATCATGTAGCAAACGTAAGAGAATCCCATAGAACCATCTCTTGGGTTCCTAGCCTATAGGAAGTGAAAAGGAGGTCCAAGGTCAGAGTACCTATAGATAAATTATGTCATAACTTAACCAATCTTGTGGGTAACTAAGGAGCGATGACGTGTAATGAATCATAGAGGGTCGTAGAAGCTTCTAGAGCTATCGTTCATGTTCCTAGGCCTCTAGTTGGTAGAGATATGCCATGTGGTAGTATTGGCCCACCCCCTTAAGGAGGAGATTTTCTTAATAACTTGTTCAATGAGTGTTCAAATGATATGCCGTGATGTATGTAGCATAAACAGATGTAGTAGAAGAGTTTGCAGCAATCGTTGAGTAGTATTGCTTCTGTTGTTGGTGTGATAAGCCAAGATATGTATGGTGACTTGTAGGTTTGAGGAGGAGATTTCTAAGTTTGCTCTTGAGTTTGATAGCAAACTGAGTGCAACGAATGTCAGTATGACAGTGAGGCTATTCCTCATAACATACAGTTGTCTGCTTAGCGGTTGTAACCTTGTGGCTAAGGCTACACCCGTAATCCCCATAACAACTGTAATAACCATAATAACCGTAACAACCGTAACAACCATAACAACCATAACAACCGTAACAACCGTAACAACCGTAACAACCGTAACAACCGTAACAACTGTAACAACGGTAACAACCGTAACAAGCTGTGACAAGCTGTGAGCTGTAATCGTAACACCTACTTGTTACGACGGAACAAGAAGGCTGGCCAACTACAGGACAGGAAGGAGGGAGGTCGCATGAGACCGGCCCTGGTACCTGGAGGGGCAGCGGGGAATAGTAGTTCCGAAAGTATCACGTGACGGACTCGCAGGATGATGAGAAGAGTCCTAAGAGTCCAGGACTCCGAGGACTCGAGTGAGTTCCCAGGAGTCCACTAGTCACGTGATGGACTCGCAGGATGATGAGAAGAGTCCTAAGAGTCCAGGACTCCGAGGACTCGAGTGAGTTCCCAAGAGTCCACTAGGCACGACGCCACTATATAAGTAGATAGTATTTCCTTAGATAGGAGCTTCGTGCTCAACTCAATACAGTATTTGTTATATACTAGTAACGTGTTACTTGAAGCCTTTGTGTCTGATCCCCTGCCTCCTCTGATAAGTAAACCTTTACGCAAGAGAACCTCTGTGTCTTCTATCGTTCAGAAGTCAGCGTTACACTTTGAGCACCACTTCTACGAGGTACCGGCTTACACACAAAGCAACATGTCTGTCGTCAGTTCGAAGGGGAAAACCCCCACCACGCCAACTTCGTCTCAGAGGTCTAAGCCTGAGAATGAAGAAATGCCCGATGCACCCACCGTCAACGAACTCAAGGAAACTCTACGCGTCAAGTTGCCCGACACTTACTCCGGCAACCGAAAGGAACTTGAGGTGTTTTTGCTACAGGTCGAACTGTACCAGCACTTCAATGACGAGAAGTTTCCCACCCAGGAGAGCTATGCCCTGTGGACTGCGTCCTACCTTAGGGGGGAAGCCCTGCGATGGATCGAACCATTCCTCAAGGACTATTTCAAATATGAAAGTACCAATGGAAGCATGACAACTACGCAGACTATGTTTGGCAGCTGGAAAGGATTCTGTAAGGAAATCCGACGCATGTTCGGAGACATCGATGAGATCAAGACCGTGGAAGACCATCTGTTTGCACTTAAGCAGACTGGCAGCGCCCTCACGTACTCCACAGAATTCCAGAGATACGGCAATCAGACAGGATGGGACGCCAGCGCACTCATCAGCCACTACCGACGTGGGCTGAAGAGCCATATACGTATGGAACTTGCCCGTTTGGAACAACAACCAACGGACATGGTAGCGCTAATCGAACATACGGTCCGAATCGACAATCGACTATACGAATTCCAGAAGGAACGTCGGACCTATGACAAGCCCAAGAAAAGTTACCCCTACCGGGGAAACGAGGGCAGACGACGGGATCAACACCCGCGAGACAACCGTTGGTCGGACCCAATGGAACTCGATGCCACGTTCAAACCTGGACGACCCCGTGACCCTAAGAAAGACAGACAATTCAAGGAACGACTCTGTTTTAACTGCGACAAGCCAGGCCACATGGCCCGAGACTGCAGACAGCCAAAGAAAGGGAACGGCGGACGCAAAGTCGGCAAACAACTCAATGCCACCTGGACAGGACAGTTGAACGCAACGTTTGTGAGCAAACAGGACTGGGGAATAAACGGCGAAAGCACCCCAGAAGACGAGAGCTCAGATGAAGGGTCGGAGGCGGAATCATTCACCGTCTCGGAACAGGAGACCTTCGATGAACTCGCACCTACGGAACCAATGAGTCCACGGTGCAAGAACGTAGTAAGACGCATGGCAAAACACGCCCACGCGAAGATTAGGGCCGAACGAGACAAGCCCAATGGCCAGAGGAAAA